ACAAACACATGAAAAGATGCTCAACATCACTCATTATCAGAGAAATGCAAATCAAAACCACAATGAGGTACCATTACACGCCAGTCAGGATGGCTGCTATCCAAAAGTCTACAAGCAATAAATGCTGGAGAGGGTGTGGAGAAAAGGGAACTCTCATACTGTCTTGATGACTGTAGCTTTATAGTATAATCTGAAGTCAGGAATGTTGATTACTCCAGCTCCATTCTTCTTTCTCAAGACTGCTTTGGCTATTCAGGGTCTTTTGTTTTTCTGTATGAATTGTGAAATTTTTTATTCCAGTTCTGTGAAAAATGCCATTGGTAATTTGATAGGGATCACATTGAATTTGTAGATTGCATTTAGTAGTATAGTCATGTTCAAAATATTGATTCTTCCTACCCAGGAACATGGAATATCTCTCCATCTTCTTTCATTAGTGTCTTATAATTTTCTGTGTACAATTCTTTTGTCTCCTTAGGTAAGTTTATTCCTAGATATTTAATTCTTTTTGTTGCAATGGTGAATGGGATTGATTCCTTAATTTCTCTTTCAGATTTTTCATTGTTAGTATATAGAAATGCAAGTGATTTCTGTGTATTGATTTTGTACCCTGCAATTTTGCTAAATTCACTGATTAGCTATAGTAATTTTCTGATACTATCTTTAGGGTTTTCTACGTATAGTATTATGTCATCTGCAACCAGTGTGCACTTTACTTCTTTTCCAGTCTGGGCTCCTTTTATTTCTTTTTCTTCTCTGACTGCTGTAGCTAGAGTTTCCAGAACTATGTTGAATAATAGTGGTGAGAGTGGACACTCTTGTCTTGTTCCTGACCTTAGGGGGAATGGTTTCAGTTTTTCACCATTGAGAATAATGTTTGCTGTAGGCTTATCATATATGGCCTTTATCATGTTGAGGTAAAGAACACTGGTTCCTTCTATGACCATTTTTTAAAGAGTTTTAATCACAAATGGGTGCTGAATTTTGTCAAAGGTTTTCTCTGCATCTGTTGAGATTACCACATGGGTTCCATCTTTCAATTTGTTAATATGGGGTATCATATTGATTTTCATATATTGAAGAGTCCTTGCATTCCTGGAATAAACCCAACTTGATCACGGTGTGTGAGCTTCCTGATGTGCTGCTGAATTTTCTTTGCTAAAATTTTATTGAGGATGTTTTCATCTATGTTCATCAGTGATACTTGCCTGTGGTTTTCTTTTTTTGTTTTGTCTTTGTCTGGTTTTGGTATCAGGGTGATGGTAGCCTTGTAGAATGAGTTTGGAAGTGTTCCTTCCTCTGCAATTTTTTGAAAGAGTTTTAGAAGGATAGGCATTAGCTCTTCTATAAATGTTTGATAGAATTTCCCTGTGAAGTTATCTGGTCCCAGGTTTTTGTTTTGGGGGAGATTTTTGATCACAGCTTCAATTTTAGTGCTTGCAATTGGGTTGTTCATAATTTCTATTTCTTCCTGGTTCAGTCTTAGAAGACTGAACTTTTCTAAGAATCTGTCCATTTCTTCCAGGTTACCCACTTTATTGCCATACAGTTGTTCATAATAGTCTCTCATAATCCTTTATATTTCTGTATTGTCTGTTGTAACCTCTCCTTTTTCATTTCTAATTTTATTGAGTTGATTCTTCTCTCTTTTTTCCTTGATGAGTCTGAGTAAAGGCTTGTCCATTTTGTTGATCTTCTCAAAGAACCAGCTTTTAGTTTTATTAATCTTTACAATTGTTTCTTTCATTTGTTTTTCATTTATTTCTGCTTGGATCTTTATGATTTCTTTCCTTCTACTAATTTTTGGTTTGTTGTTGTTGTTCTTCTATTTCCTTCCAGTTGTTTTAGGTTTAAAGTTAGGTTGTCTATTTGATTTTTTTCTTGTTTCTTGAGGTAGGATTGTATTGCTATAAACTTCCCTCTTAGAACTGCTTTTGCTGCATCCCATAGGTTTTGAGCTGTCATTTTATCATTGTCATTTGTTTCTAGAATTTTTTTCATTTCCCTTTTGATTTCTTCAGTAACCTGTTGGTTATTTAGATATGTGTTGTTTAACATCCATGTGTTTGTGTTTCTTACAGTTTTTTTAATGTAATTCAAATCTAGTCTCATAGCATTGTGGTCAGAGAAGATGCTTGATACGATTTCAATTTTCTTAAATTTCACTGAGGTTTGATTTTTTACCCAAGATGTTATCTGTCCTGGAGAATGTTCCATGTGCACTTGAGAAGGTCTATTCTTCTGCATTTGGATGGAATGTCCTGAGGATATCAATGAGATCCATTTCAGCTAATGTATCATTTAAGACTTGTGTTTCCTTATTAATTTTCTATTTTGATGATCTGTCCATTGGTGTGAGTGGGGTGTTAAAGTCTCCTACTATTATTGTGCTACTGTCAATTTCTCCTTTTATGTCTGTTAGTGTTTGTCTTATGTATTGAGGTGCACCTATGTTGGGTGTATAGATATTTACAATTTTTATGTCTTCCTCTTGAATTGATCCTTGATCATTATGGAGTGTCCTTTCTTATCTCTTGTAATCTTTAAAGTCTATTTTGTCGATATGAGGATTGCTACTCCAGCTTTCTTTTGCTTTCTATTTGCATGGAATATATTTTTCCATCCTCTCACTTTTAGTCTCTATGTGTCTTGAGCTCTGAAGTGGGTTTTTATTTTAGACAGCATTTATATGGGTCTTGTTTTTGTATCCATTCAGCCAGTCTGTGTCTTTTGGCTGGAGCATTTAATCCATTTACATTTTAAGTAATTATTGATATATATGTTCCTATTGCCATTTTCTTAAATGTTTGGGGTTGATTTTGTAGATCTATTTTCTTCTCTTGTATTTCTTGAATATATAAGTCCCTTTAACATTTGTTGTAAAGCTGGTTTGGTGGTACTTAATTCTCTTAACTTTTGCTTGTCTGAAAAGCTTTTTATTTCTCTATCAATTTTGAATGAGATCCTTGTTGAGTACAGTAATCTTGGTTGCAGTTTTTTCCCTTTCAGTACTTAAAATATATCTTGCCATTCCCTTCTGGCCTGCAGAGATTCTGCTTAAAGATCAGCTGTTAAGTATATGGGGTTTCCCGTGTATGTTAATTGTTGCTTCTCCCTTGCTGCTTTTAATATTCTTTCTTTGTGTTTAGTCATTGTTAGTTTGACTAGTATGTGTCTTGGCATGTTTCTCCTTGGGTTTATCCTATATGGGACTCTTTGTGCCTCTTGGACTTGATTGACTATTTCCTTTTCCATGCTGGGGAAATTTTCAATTATAGTCTTTTCAAAAATTTCATTTCCTTTCTTTTTTTCTTCTTCTTCTGGGACCCCTATACTTCAAAATGTTGGTGCATTTGATACTGTCCCAGAGGTCTCTGAGACTATCCTCAGTTCATTCTTTTTACTTTATTCTGCTCTTCAGAAGTTATTTCCACCATTTTATCTTCCAGCTCACCGATTCGTTCTTTTGCTTCAGATATTCTGCTATTGATTCCTTCTAGAGTATTTTTAATTTCAGTAATTGTGTCCTTTGTCTCTGTATATTTATTCTTTCATTCTTTTAGGTCTTTGTTACTTGATTCTTGCATTTGCTCCATTTTGTTTTCAAGGTTTTGATCATCTTTACTATCATTATTCTGAATTCTTTTTCAGGTATTGGCCTATTTCCTCTTCATTTATTTGGACTTCAGTGTTTCTATCTTTTTCCTTCATATGTGTAGTATTTATATGACTTTTTGTTATTTTTTTTAACTTACTGTGTTTGAGGTCTCCTTTTGCCAGGTTTCAAGGTTGAATTCTTTCTTCCTTTTGGTTTCTGCCCTCTAAGGTTGATCCAGTGGTTTGCGTGAGCTTCATATAGGGTGAGTTTGTGCTCAGTTTTTGTTTGGTTGTTTGTTTTTCTTCTGATGGTCAAGGCTGAGTGAGGTGGTAATCCTGTCTGCTGATTATTTGGTTTGTATTTTGTTGTTGTTGCTGTTGTTTAGATGAGGTGTCCTGCACAGGGTGCTACTGGTGATTGGGTGATGGCGGGTCTTGTATTCAGGTGGTTTCCTTTGTGAGTTCTCACTGTTTGATACTCCTTAGGGTTAGTTCTCTGGAGGTCTAGGTGTTTGGAGTCAGTGCTCCCACTCCAAAGGCTCAGGGCTTGATCTTTGGCCAGGAACAAAGTTTCCACAAGTGGTTTGTTATGGCATTAAGTGAGATTAAAACAAATATACAAAAATGAGAAACCAAAGATGAACCCCAGACAAATGGCAATTACAAAATCAGACAAATAATAATTAAAATAATGGAATATACACATATACATATATACCCATGAGCAAAGTGAAAACAGTCCAACAAAAATAAAGTGCAGTGGATTAGTCCGGCAAACAAAGTAAATCAAAATTTATATTTACCAGTTAAGAACAAAGCTAACTAAAGCACAAACTGGAAAACAAAACTAAAGCAAGGTGTCAAGTGGGGAATAAAGCATTGAAAACAAAACTAACAAATATGTTGAGAGGAAAGGAAAGAAAGAAACAAAAAAAAGAATAGATATGCAAAGTTAAATAGAGGTAGACAAAGATTTGTATACATTAAAGATTAAACTGCAAGGGGGAAAGAACAATAGGAAAGACAAACAAAGGAATAAATGTAGAAAAAATATAATAGGTTTTTTAAAAAATTAAAAATTAAATTATAAAAAAGAGAAAAGAAAGAAAATGGAAGAAGACAGACAATGGAAAAAAAATGGAAAACTCCACAGTACTGCAAAAGCCCGATGTAGAGGCAGAGGTTTATAGCAACAATAAAAAGTGTGAATGAATATACACACATACATATACACCCATAAGCAAAATCAGAACAGTCCAACAAAAATAAAGTACAATAGATTGACCTGGCGAACAAAGGAAACCAAAAATTATATCTACCAGGATAAAACTAACTAAAGCAAAAACTGGAAAACAAAACTAAAGCCAGCTGCCAATTGGGGAATAAAGCAATGAAAATAAAACTGACAAATGTTGAGAGGAAAGGAAAGAAAGAAAAGAAAAGAAAGAATAGATATGCAAAGTTAAATAGAGGTAGATGAAGAAGATTTATATACATTAAAGATTAACTGCAAGGAGAAAAGAACAATAGGAAAGGCAAACAAAGAAATAAATGTAGAAAAAACTATAATAGGCTTAAAAAATTAAAATTAAAAAAAGAGAAAAAAATGAAAACTCCACATAACTTCAAAAGCCCAATGTAGAGGCAGAGGTTTATAACAGCAATAAAAAAATGTGACTGAGGAAAAAAACAAGCTCAAAAGTTTAATTAGAGTTCATAGTGCCAATAAAATCAACAACTACAACGGGGGGAGAAAATAAAGCAAAAAAAAAAATCCAAAAGAATCTACAGAGCAAGTCAAAACATAAGAATAATAAATTTTTTCTTGAATCACTGCTACTAGAGTCCTTTCCCAGCTGGGAGTCACAGTCCACTTCACCTCCCTAGGATGCCCTCCAACACTGTGCTGCTCTCTGGACCTGCTGTGGGGGCAGCTCAGATTCTAATCTGGCCCTATTCCTGTGTGTTCTTGCCTCCAATGTCCACAGCTATCAGAACTTGTGCATTTTCTTTTGTGGGAGCTCTCAATGACCTTTTATATAGTCCATCAACACACAGTCTGCCTAGTTTATTATGTGGATTTAACCTGCAGCTTATACAGCTGGTGGAAAAATAGATTTTGGGCCTTCTTCCTTAGCCACACTGCCCCTTGGTTTCAACTGTGGTTTTATCTCCACTTCTGCATGTGGCTCATCCACTGGGGTTTGCTCCTGAGGCTGACCTAGAGGACTTAGGTTTGCCTCCATGAGGACCAGGTGTGGAGGTGGTGCAGCTGCTTGGGTTGCAGGGGTTCTGGCAGCACCAGGTACTCAAGGGAGTTGACGGCCAGAGTAGCAGGAACTATAGTGCTCTAGTAGGGTATGGCAACCAGTATTGGTCAATACACTCCAGTATTCTTGCCTGGAGAACCCCACTCCCTGACAGAGAAGCCTGGCAGGCCACAGTCTACAGGGTTGCAAAGAGTCAGACACTACCGAAGCAACTTTGTACGCATAGACGCAGGACTTTTTTTTAACCTGTGGCAGCTCTGCCCCAGTGAGAGTTGAGCGTGAAGGTGGTGCAGCTGCTTGGCTTGTGAGGACCCTGGCAGCACCAAGTGTGCAGGGACATGGACTGCCTCCGCCACAGGAGTTATGTTCCTATCAGAGCCTTTTTTTGAGCCTCTTGTAGCTAGTGATCAGAAGGCCTCTTGGGCCAGTCTTTCTCCTTAGCTCTGCTCATTCAGGCGCTTAGAGGGCTCCCTTGCCTGGGGTCCTTCTCTGTTGTTTGGAGCATCAGGCACATAGAGGGGCCCCCCTGGCTGGGGTCCTACTCTGTAGTTTGGCACATCAGGCACTTAAAGGGGCACCCTAGGTGGGGTCCTACTCTGTAGTTCAGTGCCTCAGGCATTTGATGGGCCAGCCTCTCTATTGTTCAACTGCTGATGTTGGCCTGTGGGGAGAAAGAGGCTATAGTGATGGCTCCACCACCTACACATGACTAAGCAGTATCGCCTTGCTTAGATGGCTGCCCGGCTTTCCTCCACAGGCATTTCTCATCACAATCTCCTCCCTCACCTCCCCTGGATCCATCTCTCCACAGTCAACAGCAGCCCTCATCCTGGGATCACTCCACACTCCCCAAACTCCAGCTCCCAGCCCCTGTGCCTTCCAGGGGACCAGCATTCTTGTCCAGGGTATGTATGGCTGTGGCAAGGTCTGTCTGAGTCTCATTCCATTTAGGCTGCCACAGATCAGCTGTTTCACTCTCAGCCTTAAATGTTTCTCCTCTGAATCAGACAATTGCCCCAATGTGGGGATTGGACCCCAGCTTCAGTTCCCCCACCTGCTGAGGGCAGGTCCAGTCCTACTAACACTCCTGTTTTCCCCTTCCGTTGTCCTACCGAGTTTTGTGTGGTTCTATATATTCTGTATATCCTCTGGTCAAGTACTCCTGTCTGCTCTCAGCTGGTGTTCTGCATGCACTTCTGTGTCTGAAGGTGTATTCCTGATGTATCCATGGAGAGAGATGTACTCCATGTCCACCTACTCCTCTGCCATCTTGTTCTCCTCCCATAAAATTTCTTAATATTAGCAAATAGAATTCAACCATACATAAAAAGAATTTTACATTATACCAGAAAGTGAAAGTGTTAGTCACTCAGACGTGTCTGACTCTTTGTGACTCCATGGACTGTAGCCTGTCAGGTTCCTCTGTCCACAGAATTCTCCAGGGCAGAATACTGAGTGGGTTACCATGCCCTTTTCCAGGGGATCTTCCCAACCCAGGGATAGAACCCAGGTCTCCTGCATTGCAGGCAGATTCTTTGCCATTTGAGCTACCCAGGAAGCCAACATTTCAGAATGCTAGCCTCGTTTTGTAATTAGTAATCGGCCAATACAATCCACCATCTTAACAGGCTTTAAAAAAAAAAGTCACATCATCAATGCAGTAAAGCATCTGATAAAATTCAAACTCATTCATGAAAAACAAAACAGAAGAGAATTTCCTGAACTTGGTAAAAAGTATCCAAGGAACACCTACAGGTGTTTTTTAATGGTATAGGCAGCATAAATAGTGAAAGATTGAATGCTTTCCCCCTAAGATTGGACTAAGGCAAGTATGTCTGTTCTTAGCACTCTATTTCAAGATAGTACTGAATATTCTAACCAGGGCAATAAAGCAAGAAATGGTAATTGACATACAGAATAAAAATAAAATTGCCCTTTAGAGCTAGAAATTCCCAAGGAATCAATCAAAAACTCCTAGAATAAGTCAGGTTACAAGATAAATATCCCCAAAGCAACCATATTTCTATATATTAGTATGGATATGTGGACACCAAGATTAAAAACAAATTACTCAAAAAAAAAAAAGTACTTTGGGGGTAAAACATGAACATGAATTGTGTGTTGAAAACTACACAGTGTTGATGACAAATCAAAGCTTAAAATAAATACATACCATGTTCATGCATTGGAAGATTCAATATAGGAAAGACACTAATTCTCCCCAAACTGATAGAGGTTTAACACAATTGCTGTCAGAATTCCAATGATATCTTTTGTAGATATAAAAAAAAAATTTAAACATGGAAATATAAAGGAACCAGAATAGCTAATGCAATTTCTAAAAAGAATAATAGTGGGAGGAATTAGTCTACCTGATTTTAGAACTCAATACCTACCATACTCAAGACCATAGGATTGATGAAGAGATAGACACATAGATCAACAGAACAGAATTAAAAAGAAAAAAAGAAAAACAGAAATAGGTCCACACAAATAGGCTCAAATGATTTTTGACAAAGATAAGGGCAGTCCAACGGAAGATAGACAAATGGTATAGACCATTTCAACAAATGGTACTAGAAAAATTGGACATTCCTAGGAGAAAACAAAAACCTTGACTTAAGTCTCCTACCTTATAGAAAACTTAACTCCAAATGGATCACGGATTTCAATGTAAAACTATAAAATCTTTAGAAAAAAGTAAAAGAAAATCTTTGGGACCCAGGGCTAGGCAAAGAATTCTTAGACTTGACAACAAAACAAAATCCAAGAGAGGAAAAAATAACAAATTGAACACTGACAAAATTCAAAACTATTGCCCTGCAAATGATCCTATTCAGAGAATGAAAAACCAAGCTACAGACTAGGAGAAAATATTTGCAAACCACATTATTTGACAAAAGACTAGTGCATACAATATGTAGAGTTCTCAAAACTCAACAGTACAAAAGCAAGCACTGTATTCAAATGTGGGCAAAAGACATGATGAGAAATTTTACGAAAGATACACAGGTGTCAAGTAAACATGAAAAGAAGTGCTTGTTTAATGAAACTACCCTATGCTATCTCATACCATATGCACACACACTTTTGATAGTTAGAGACCTAAAAGTTTATATCCTCTCCTCTGTAACCCCACAGTGCCTCTACATTGTCTATGTTGTAGTGAAAAAAAAAATGTGTGTAATATGTCCCTTAGTTATTTCTCTATTTCATGCTAATGAGAAAAAAATAGAATCATATATAAGAAAGAAATACAAACCGACATCTCCTTCGACCTCTTTTTTCTTCACCCGCTTAATCCTCTTCTTTAGTACCTTCATAAGGAAATTAGCAAATTTATTGTTTTCTCCAAGCACTGTTTGGAAACCAGCATAGAGGGCTTTTTCTTGGTCCTGTAGCTTGGCTACTTCATTCTTTTTCTCTTCCATCTCTTTAAGAGTTTCATTTATTTTCCACTAAATGAAAAAGAATATCAACAAATGATAAATAAAATACTTCCTGATAAACTGGGTTCAGAGAATAATGTACATTACAGTGTAAGGTTACAGCCTACAAACATTTTAAAATCTTTAAGTTTACATTTCTGATGTTTGCAGAGTCTATTCATTTGTTTAAAACTTATAATTCTTTTGTAAAAATCAATTAAGGTCAGAATCAGATAAGATAGATTTTTTGATGTTTCACTTCCTCAAAAAACTAAATTAATTTAAAATTTTTACTTATATGTGAATGTCAGCTAATATTTTGCTGTATGTGCTCTCAAAAAAGACTCTCTTTCATATCAACACAAGATACTTAAAACAAAAAGACAAATTTGTTCTTAGTGAAGCTGATACATCTACAAACTGACATCACTATTGTGTATACATTATCTAATAGACTCCTTCTTCGTTTATGACAAAGATAGGTGTTATAATTAATCTCCTTAAATTTACATATTAATATATATAATAAAGACAATTTCCTGTGCTAGTCAATTATGTATTACTCTGAAAGTAGCTATCATATTTAAGAAATTTACCAACTCCTTTTCCAAGTATGTTCATTCATAATGATAATATATAATCAAAACTCAACTTCACATGATAGATACTAACAACAAAAATAATTTTAAATACAAATGTAAACAAAACATAAGGGTCACTTTTGAAAATTTAATTTTCCTACTTTATAAGATATCAGATCAAATTCATTAAAAATTATGATTCACTGTTCCCTGAGCAAGGTTACCAAAAATAGAGAGCAAACAGGAATAACAGGAAAAAGGAGGATGAAGAGAAGACAAGAAAGAGATGTAGACTAGAACAAGGGGGGAAATTAAGAAGGAGAAAAGAAGAATTGAGTCCCTTCCATAACAAAGGCTGTAGCCAGTTAGCAATCTTTTGACCATTCATACTTGCATGTCCTGTTCCTCTTTGTCTAATGAATTAACACGCTCTTGGAGTATGTTCTCCTGTTTTTCAAAGTTCTTCAGGAGAAGCATTTCTTGAAATAATGTGACATGGTGCAGGTCGGATAATTTCATCTGAATATCTAACTTCAGTTTCTGATGTCTCAGGAGACGGAGTTCTGCATCAAAAGTGACAATCAGTTCTTTGATCTGAGGTGGAAAAAGATTTGAGGGTATGTTAGAAGCTTAAAACACATAAGTGCATCTTTAAAACTATCCAACAATACTGATTTGTTTGGGTAAAAGCATTTTGTTTATCATGCCCTTATTTTGGATGGAAAATTATAAAGGTGGGTGAGTAGGCACATGTGTATGTATGTAGTCATGTAAATCAGTTCAGAATATAAATTAAATTTATTAAGTGGTAGGAATTCTTGAGGAAGGTGCAGTCCTTTCAGCTATTTCTTCATAATTGATTAACCCATTGATCAAGAATGTCATTCCTACTTTAAATCAGTTTTATAATAAATATTGATTAAATCTTTGTTTAAATTGGAGACTATGAGCTCTTCATGGATATTGTTTATATTTGTCTCCATTCCATCCCCACAGTATCTCTACACTGTCCTTCACACAGTAAGCACTAAAAAATTTTTACTTTCCTCACCTTATTTTGAAAAATTTCAAACCTATGGAACAGCAAATTTTTAAATAGATAAATGTAATTGTGGAACTATAAGAAATTTATTCAATCTTCTTTACTTAGTTTATTTATAGACAAAGAAATTGAGACTAAAAATGATTTCCTTGAGACCAAAACTAATTTGTTATAGATAAGAACTCAAGTAACTCAGGTCCTAGTCTAGACTTTATTCCACTGCCATTTCAAATGATCTTAAATCCTGTTTTACTTTGATTTTGACATAGCTTCTCCCTTGTCCCATCCCAAAGGAGATGAAGAAAGCAAAAGACAGCCCCAAGGGCAAATTCTCTTAAAGAAACTAGTACAACAGGAAGAATACACAACATTCCATGTTTTTCATTAGGCTGTACATGATGCAAAGCCTTGACTATCTAATGCCTATAATGAGTGAGGGTTCAACCTAAGGCTGAGAAAGAGGAAGACATCTGTGGGTCCGGGGCAGTGAAACTGCTAGAGAATTTCAGAGAGCTGAAAAACAGAAACAAAAACAAATTAAGGAAAAGAAAAATTAAACTTTTAATGTTTGACTGTAGACTAAGTGGGTTCCCCTTTTAATGCTTGCTTAATAAATCTGAATTATTTTTAAGCTTCTTTGGAGACAGGACTATATTGTCTTTAGTGCAACACCATTCTGCAACTATACCACATAGGTGTCCAAGTTGTAAGGGTTATGCTTGTTTTATTCTCACCACACTTCATATCTGTAAGCTTTATGAAGATACAGTACATGTCTGGCTTGAGAAATGTTGCATCCCTATTACCTAGCTTACACTGTTTCTGCACATAGAATGGCCAATAAATATTTGTTAAATTAATAACTAGTTAAAATTAAATCAATCAAAACTTTTTACAGAAAATCTACTATATGTCTGAAATTGTCCTAGATACTTCAGGGGAATCAGAAGTATATGTGGCCCTTCCCTCAAGAACTGTATGATCTAATGAAATGGAGACTAAAGAAAAAAAAATCAATAAAACTGATTGATAAAAAGGCTGGTCTTTGAAAAGATAAAATTGATAAACCTTAATTCAAACTCAACAAGAAAAAACGGGAGGTGGCCTAAGTCAATAAAATCAGAAATTGAAAAGGAGTACAACTGACACCACAGAAATGAACAGACCAATGAACAGAACAGTAATGAAGTTGAATCAGACTGGATAGTTTCACAGGTGAATTCTACCGAACATTTAGAGAAGAGTTAACGGCCATCCTAAAACTACCCCAAAAAATTGCAAAGGAAGGAACACTTCCAAACTCATTCTATAAGGCCAGTATTATCCTGATACTAAAAGCAGACAAATATATCATGCAAAAAAGAGCATTACAGCCCAATATCACTGATGAACATAGATGCAAAAGTCCTTAACAAAATATTAGCAAACTGATCCCAACAGTACCTTAAATAATCATACATTATGATCAATGAGATTTATTCCAAGGATGCAAGGATAATTCAATAGACACAAATCAGTATGTTGCACCACATTAACAAATTGAAAAATAAAAGCCACATGATTATCTCACTGCAGAAAAACTTTTGACAAAATTTAACATCTATTTATGATAAAAACTTTTTAGAAAGGGGGCAGAGAGAGAACATAGTTCAACATAATAAAAGTCATAATATGACAAATCCATAGCTAATATCATACTCAAAGGTGAAAAACTGAAAGCATTTCCTCTAAGATCAGGAACAAGACAAGGATGCCCAATATTGCCTCTTTTAATCCACATAATATTGGAAATCCTAGTCACAGCAATCATACAAGAAATGAAAGGAATCCAAATTGAAAAAGAAGCAAAACTATTTCTGTTTGCAGATGACATATACATAGAAAATGCTAAAGACACCACCAGACAACTCCTGGAGCTCATCAATGAATTTAGTAAAGTTGCAGGATACAAAGTTAATATATAGAAATCTTTTGCATTTCTATATACTAAAAATTAATTATTAGAAAGAGAAATTAAGGAAGCAATCTCATTTACCATCACCTCAAAACGAACAAAATACCTAGAAATAAATCTACCTAAGGAGGTAAAAGACCTATACTCAGAAAATTCTAAGAAACTGATGGAAGAAACTGAAGACCACGGGAACAGATGGAAAAATATACTATGCTATGGATAGATATATACTATGGATGGAAAGAATCAGTATTGTTAAAATTACTATACTATCCAAAGCAACCTATGGATTCAATGCAATCCCCATCAAAATACTAATGGCATTTTTCACGGAAACAGAACAATTTTTTTTTTAATTTGTATGGAAAAACAAAAGACCCCAAAACAATCTTGAGAAAGAAAAACAGAGCTGGAGGAATTATACTCCCTGACTTCAAGATCATACTACAAAGTTGTAATGATCAAACAGTATTACACTGGCACAAAAACAGACACATCAATCAATGAAAGGAAACAGAGAGCCCAGAAATAAACTCAGGCACATATGGTCAATTAATCAGTGATGAAGGAGATAAGAACATACAATGAAGAAAAGATAGTCCCTTCAATAAATGATGCTGGGAAAATGGGACAGTTATATATAAAAGAGTAAAATTAGAACATTCTATAACACCATACACAAAAATAAACTCAAAATGGATTAAAGACCTAAACATAAGGCTGGAAACCATAAAATTCTTGGAGGAAAACATAAGTAGAATACTCTTTGACATAAATCATAGCAATTTTTTTTTTGGCTCTGTCTGTTAAAGCAAACAAAAACAAAAATAGACAAATATAATTAAGCTTAAAAGCTTTCAGATATCAAAGGAAATCACCAAAAAAAAAAAAAAGATGAAAATACAACCTACTGCATGGGAGAAAATATTGGCAAATGATATGACTGATAAGGGGTTAATATCCAACTTGTATAAACAACTCATACAACTCAACATCAAAAAAATGATTTAAAAATAGGCAGAAGACCTGAATAGACATTTTTCCAAAGAAGAAATGCAGGTGGCCAATAGGCACATGAAAAAATGCTCAATATTGCTAATCATTAGGAAAATGCAAATCAAAACCACAGTGAGATAATCACCTCACACCTCATAGAATGGCTATCATCAAACACACACACACACATACACAAATAACAAATATTGTTGAGAATGTGGAGAGAGAGGTCTCTCAAAATGCAACCTAAGGCAGCAACACTTAGGAGGCAACCCAAAGTGTCCATAAACAGATGAATAGAAAAAGAAAATGTGATACATACATATGTGAAATGGAATACTACTCAGCCATATAAAAGAATGAAATTTTGCCATTTGCAATGACATGGATGGACCTGGGGAATATTATGATTAGTGAAATAAGTCAGTCAGAGAAAGATAAATATTATATGTTAGCAGTAATATGTGGAATATAAAAAAATAAAGCAAACTAGTGAATATAACAAAAAGAAAATAGAAATATAGACAACAACGTAGTGGTTACAAAACTAACAATACAAAACAGCAGGAAAAATTAGTATAAAGCATGAGGTGCTGATTTAAGTGCAAATGGAGTTTAGAAGAAACAAGAGTATGTAGTGAGGGCAGAAGATTATGGAGAGAGTCTGGAAGTGAGCTGAGTTTTAAATAATGGCAACTTTGAAAGGAAGTCATTGCAGGCAGAAGGAAATAGCAAAGAAAAAAGCACAGATGAAACTCAGAAGGAGGGAAGTGAGTGGGGAGAAACAGGAAGACTGAGAAAACAGGACTGGAAGAAGTAGACATAATGGTGATGAATAAGGTTGGGGGCAGGGTAACAGGGGGTGCCTTCAGAGTGTGGCCAGAAAGACACACTGAGCAAGGGGACTCTGTACGACTGGCAGGAGGGAGCTTTCCATCCAAGAAAGGACTTTTTCCTCCGCTATTCAGAGCACCTCCTGCACACAACTGGCTCCAACCTGGTCCTGATTTTCCTAGAAATAAAAATATTTGCTATTCCATGATTCTGAGGCTAGCTGTTAACCCTGAACACTTGCACTAACAGGGCAAATCATACATTAGAGAAAGAGCAGGGGTGAAGAGCAGATGGTGCCTCACTTTCACTGGAAGGTTTTAAATCATGTTCCATCCATCATCTGAAAGCTGCTCCATCACTTCTTTAGCATGACTTTAGTTAGATACCAATTAACATGGATTTGCCCTTGATTCATAGCTTTTCAAAAAGAAAAAAATTGATAAGCTCCAAAGTTCTGTGCAGAGCAGAATGATTTTCAGAAGTCCAGGGATGGGGAGGGAAGCCAAGCTATCAGTGAGCTGTGGACTGGTCAGAGTTTAGGGGGAGGTTAATGTAGAGAAGTTAAAAATAAGTAAGAATCTAGATCTAGCTCTTCTGTCTTTCAGCTTTAAATAAGCCGTCACATTTCTTACCCGGTTGATCAAATACTGTTGCATGTACACGTGTTTGATCTCCTCCCTCTTCATAATCTCCAGCTCCACGTCAGTTGGATCTGCTCTTTCAAATTCTGTGAACTTTGGAAGGTCCAGACTGAATGCTGATGCTTTTGATGCTCTAGACAATGAATCACGTGTTGTTAAATCTCCCTCCTTTCCAGAAGAGAGTCTGAGGAAGCCTCCAGCTGAGCCTGCAAATGCTGTCTGTTCCACCTGGTGGGCCTTTTCATCCTGACTTTTCACCAGCTGTTGCTTAAAAGCTAGGAGTGTTTCATCATCATACTGAAATCTCTTTTCTGGAACTTCTTCCGGGTATATCTGAGGGACCTGGGGAATGGGCAGGTGCTTGGATATGGGAAGAGTCGACTGAATGTTCTTCAGTTCTTGCACCAGACACTGTATTTCCTCGATGACAGCCACCTTAAGGTCTCGAAGAGAGATGATGCTCTTGTTCATGTGCATTTTCTTTGAGTAGGCCTGAGAAAAGGAATAGGAGGGAAGTGAAATGACAACCCAACCACAAAGGGCAGTCTGAAATATGACTCAATTTTGTCCCTTGACTGGTATGCCTAGCAGAATTCAAGAAAAAAAATCTTTCTGATCATTCCTGTTCACTACCAAGTTATTTTCTCTGATGGTTAGGCTTTTCCCTATTTCATCTCTCCATAAGGGGGAGACAGTCCAGATATGACCTCTGGTGTCCCTCAACTGGCTTATTAGGCTGAGTTCCCCTGTCCTTCTCCCACTACTCACAGAAGTCCTTCGTGAGCCCTGCACTCAGCCAGATACCAGGAGGGGGAAGGTCATCCTTTGGTTAGGAACACACAAGTAACCATCCTTCTCTGATGGAAACTCAAATCCCATGGGCTTAGACTCAGGGGTATCCAACTAGTATCAAACTACAGTTTAACCTGTTTTAATTCTGTATTTTGGCCACGTAATATCTGTAACTCCTTGTGCAGGCAAGGTCATGATTCTGAATTTCAGTATGACATCACACCAAGAGATTCCTGGATTCTTCCTTGATTCCTTCTTCATTTATCTAAGCCAAGCTACACCCCTGCTTCTACTCCCTGGTGCCACAGGTGCTTCCTCACTGCTAGTCCTCTCCCCAGTCTCTTTCTTAAATGTGTTTACCAGAGCCTATAATCACATGCAACCCTACTCCTGTGTGCAGTTAGGCAATTAGATGGCCCAAAAGCTATTAAGAGTAACTTTGCATAAATATACAGATTAATGAATATTAAAGATCAAAAGGCACTTCTTTGAGTAGTCTTATAAAACTTACAGTGTGTTTACAAGCTACTGCAACAAAATAGAGGACACGTTTTACATAGTTAAGAATAAACCTTTAAAGCATTAAGATTTAAAGTCAAAATCCAGCCCTTGGGTGAGTTGGGGCCACATCTGAAGTACCTGGAGGATTGAAAATTAAGCCGAGAAGAACAAACCCAAACCAGCCTGATGCCTATAAGGCCTATGTCTTTGAGGAGCCCTATTTACATACCAAGCTTCTTTTCAAGTTTTCCAAGTATCTCACACACTAAATACTAGCCACAGGGAGGGAAATGTATAATATACTATTTCTAACATGGTTGAGGAGGGACTTCCTTGGTGGTCCAGTGGTTAAGACTCTATGCTTCCAAGGCAGGGGGTGTGGGTTAGATTCCTGGTTGGAGAATTAAGATCCAAAATGCCATGTCTATGGCATGGAATGACATGACATGGCATATGTCCAGTGCCACAAAAAAAAAAATTTTTTTAATTTTTTTAATAAATAAAATGCTTGATACTTTTCAATGACTTTGAATTTAACTATGATAAGAATGACTGCTCATAAAGCAATCATCCTTCAATAAAAAATAAATTTTTTTAAAAAAGAATGACTGCTTATTAACTCTCTAAAGAAGACTAGACATGTCTTGTCTTATTGTTGTTAATTGGTAGAAATACTATTTGTTTTTAATAGACAATAAAACTGAGGCTTTGGGAGCTTTACATGACTAGCCAAGTTTATATAACTATTAAGTGGCAGAGATTAAGTGGAACAGAACTCTGACCTTCTGACTAGTGTGTTCTGCATTATTTAATGCTATTACTTTAATAAAATAGATTTCAATATAGTGTAGTTCAGCTCAAGACATCACACCTGTCCATCACCTCTAGCTGGACCATGAAATTTCAGGTTGGCTGACTGGCAAATTGTGATTGAAAAAACATTTCTCTATGAGAAAGGATGACACATGGTAGTTGAAACAGAAATTTCCTTAGAAAAACAGCTAGAAAAACAATCCAGTAACTAATAAAACATTCAAAATGTCCATTTGATCAGAAAAATCTATGAAGATTTACCTGTGGCTATGAATTGCCATACTGGAATCTTTGATGCTGGCAAGTACAACATCTTCGGTGAAATTGAAAGACATTCCTTCCTCAAGATACTTTACTTCCATTTTTCAGAAAATTATAAAATATTCAAATGTACTATACCTGTGGTATGACTTGGCACTCTTTGCAATGTGATGCCTTGAAATGGGCAATGTGCAGAGTCATATTAAGTGACCATATACAAAAGTCTCCTCAAAATATTAGCTCAGATGCCTTTTGAGCCTCTGAATGTGAAAAGTCACTTGTCAATTCAAAGTAAGTAATTACTATGATGGGGAGAGGAAACTTCAGTACGAAAATAGGTATGAGAGATCAGGATGACCAGAAGCAGTTTGAAAGAATGCAGAAAGAATCAAAATGGAATATATTAGTTGTTTAGTATTGAGTCTAAAAAAGTCTACATCTACAAAAGTCTAGAAGTCCTTCAAACAAAGGCTAAACACAGTAGCCTCTTTCCCTAAGTTTCTGGTAGTCCACAGCAGCCAAAAACAATATCCAAGGATGTGTTTGAATTTCAGAGGTTCAAAGTCCATAAAATATAAGGCTTTCACCCATGAAACTGGTATTGAACCAAAGAACTAATTTGAACACTGGTTCTGCAATGTTAATAATCATGGATAAATCTCTTATCTTTGGGGCTCAATTTCCTCATATGTAAAAATGGGCATTACTCTAGGAAAATGATGAAGGCCTTTTCCAATTCTAAACTTTTATGATTATATATCTTTACGGATCAGATAACAAAATGGGTGATCTTAGCAGAATTAAAAAAAAAAAACAAGGAATGTCTCATTGTCATGAAAACTATGGGTAAGTACCATAGAGTCTAGGTATCCCAGTTCCTCCTCCTTCTTGGCAGCATTTATTCTCATGTGTTCAGGTATCTTGTAGTCTGAGGCTGTCTTCAAATTAAAGTCTCCCATAAATAACTGGGCCTCTTTGATGGCCTGAACATCTTTGGGATCTTCATAGTCATCATCAGGTTTACTCTTGTACCTATCAGAAAAACCAAAAACACAGCTATAAACATAAAAATAAACTCTAACTTTTCTATTTTATTCTAGGTATAGAATCAAATTCAATCATAAAGCAAAAGCATAATTCTGAGTCTGTGGTGCAATTTCAGATTAAAAAAAAAACTTACAGTTCCTCCCATTCTTTTTTTCGTTGCTGAATCTTCATTTGGGCCCTTTCAGCTTTTAATATAAGTTTCCTTGTTTTCTCAATTTGATTTTCCACCATAATTTCACTTAGGGTTTTAGGCCGAAATTTCTTCCCTTTCTCTATGACTGATTCTTCTGGCACACTAATACTTCCACCTATACAGACAGCCAACAATTTTTTTCAATATTTTTGGAATATCAAGACAAAACTCAAATATTATTTTCAATCTGCCACATTTTTAAAAGTCCAAGAATATATTGAATCCATAGTTATGGTATATATTACTATGAATTAAACCCCACCAAAAAAGTACTTTAGAACACCAAAATAAAGAGATCTAAATCACAATTTTTACCTCTTAGAAATTTATTTAACTGGTGACATAAGACATATATTAAACAAGTAAAGAACATGATCATGAATAACAGTCTACTGGCAGACATTGGGAAGCTGGGAAAGAGTTCTGTAACATGATGATGGGGAAGAGAAAAGCAAGTGAGTCCTATTTGATGTGTAATTTGAGGTGATATCTACCAACTGTAGTGGTCTGCAGCCAATTTAAAACTGGTCAGAAACACACAAATCTAGAACTTAAAATTAATGGCTTTATCACAGACATGTGAAAAGATGCTCAACATTACTAGTCATCAGGGAGGGTGTTAGTCATTCAGTTTTGTCCAACTCTTTGCAAGCCCATGGACTGTAGGTAGAACTGTACAAGCCTGTCAGGCTTCTCTGACCATGGGATTTTCCAGGCAATAATACTGGAGTGGGTTGCCATTTCCTCCTCCAGAGGATCTTCTCAACCCAGGTATTGAACCCGGGTCTCCTGCATTGCAGGCAGATTCTTTACTGCCTAAGCCACCAGGGAAGCCCAGTCATCAGGGAAATGCAAATAAAAAACACAATGAGATATCACCTTACACCCGTCAGAATGGCTATTATCAAAAAGATGACAAATAACAAGTGTTGGTGAGGAGATAGAGAAAAAGGAATACTTGTGTACTGTTGGTAGGAATGTAAGTTGGTGCAGGAGATTCCTCAAGAATTAAAAATAGAACTACCATATGATGATCCAGGATTCCACTTTTGGGTATTTTTCCAAGGGAAAAAGTGCCACTAACACAAAAAGATATATGCACCCCTATGCTCATTGTAGTATTATTTACAACAGCCAAGATATAGAAGCAAACTAAGTGTTCACTGATAGGTGAATGGATAAAGAATATGAGGTATACACACACACAACAGAATATTACTCAGTCATAAAAAAAGAATAAAATATTTCCATTTGTGACAACGTGGATGACCTAAAGAGTGTTATGCTGACTGAAATAAGACGAGAAAAACAAATACTGTATGATTTCTCTTATATGTGGAACCTAAAAAATCAAAACAAATGAATAAACATAACAAAACAGAAATAGACTCATAATACAGAAAACAAATAGCTGGTTGACAGAGAGGAAGGGGTCGGAGGATGAAATAAGTGAGGGAGATTAAGAGGTACAAACTTCCACTTACAAAATAAATGAGCCAGGGGGAAGAAATGGACACCACAGGAAACAGTCAATAGTGTAGTAATAACTTTGTATGGTAACAGATAATAGCTAGACCTATCACGGTAATCATTTTATGATGTATAGAAATACAGAATCACTATATTGTAACCTGGAACTAACACAGTTTTGAAGTCAATTATACTTCAGTAATAATTAATTAAAATAAAACTATTGGTTTTATTAATTATAAGTACCTACTAGAGGAATTATTCAATTTTTGTCCAAGCTACATAGAGATATACTTTAGATATACATGAAAAATGTTAGATAATATGGATGGTTACCATTTTATTTCATATTTCAAATATATGGTACTATGGAAAAATAAGTTAAACATGTCCTGGGTGGTCACAGAAAGATTTGATAATTAAAGTATATTTCATATATATAAAATAGATAACCAACAAAGACCCACTGCATAGCACAGGGTACTATCCGTAACCTTTGTAATAACCTACAAAGGAAAAGAATCTGGTTAATGAATGTGTGTGTGTGTGTGTGTGTGTGTGTGTGTGTGTGTGTAAACAATCACTTTGCTGTATACCTGAAACTAACACAACACTGTAAATCAACTATACTTCAATAAAAATTAAAAGTATTATTTGATCTAGATCCCCCCAAAATGGTAGAATTCAGAAAGGAGAGGAGTGAATTGGTCACTTCATTAGGAACCTGCATGTGGATGTTTCAGACATAATTAGAAAGCAGCAAGCAGAATGATAAGCTAATTGTGCCAGTCAAGCAGTATTTTATTGGGGATAAAATAGAGATATGTTGCAGAAGGATTCAATATGTGATAAGGGTTTCAGAAGTTATCCTAGAAGCAGAAAGAAGCCATTAAATGTTTCTCAATGAAGAGAGTGAAACAGTAATAATGTTAGTACTGAATCATATGCTCTAGCCTACATCTGGCCAGGCTGCAGTGCCCTTTACCCTTGACTAGGCTCTCCACATCTGTTCCCAGAATTCCTGTCTTGCTCCTTCTCACCCCAGTCACCCTGTGGGCAGTCACAGGAGGCAGGGATTAGAGATTTATTTTCACACCTGTATTCTCAGCTCATCATTCTGTTTAATACATGTCCTTGGAAAAGAGTGTGAGTTGTGTTCTAGCCCTACACTCTGGGGTGGGGCCCACGAGTCTGGGAACAAACAGTTCCTAGGAAAACTAGCATCCTAGATTTAAGAACATCCTAGATTTAAGAACAGTTGGACAAGAGAAGCAAGAAATCAGTAGTACTTGGTGCTCTTATCCACCCTTAGGCACATGACCGGGAATCAAAGGTTCTGCTCACAAAAAGAGAATTCAATTTTGAAATTTTGATAAATATGGACTCAAAAGCCTTCTTGTCATTTAGGTTACCTGTATCTCTCTGGCTATCCTTTCTTCCAGTTCCTTCTTTTTCAAACCTCTCAAATTTGCTTGGTCTTCTCTCCGACTGACTTGTCCGTTTGGTTTTGGAGTATTTAGAGGGCTTCACGAGCCTATAGGAGGATATCTTGTGATCACTCTGAATGGCATGAACTACAATAGTATCACTTTCCAATGAATCACGAAATCTGGGGGAAAATAAGGACTTGTCACCATTTCAATCATGCTACACAATTATTACACAATAAAATAAGATCACAATGTATTATGCTGATAAACAATACCATTATATCATGTTGAGTCCAAAATTCAACCATGTATATACCAACAGGGATGTAGTGGAAGTTGAATAGCACTTAAAGTAGAATTTTCTAATGGAAATACTAAACATCTCATTATTAACAGCATACCATTGTTTTGCCAGTATGTAGAAGAGTCAAATTTTCAAATAGGCTGCAGTTTATGGTAAGTGGATCATATTAAACTCTGAGGAAGTGCAATTCATTTTCCTATTATCTCATATAGTATATATACAAAATAATACATATTTCATATAAAGTGAAGTGAAGTCGCTCAGTCGTGTCTGACTCTGTGACCCCGTGGACTGTAGCCTACCAGGTTCCTCCATCCATGGGATTCTCCAGGCAAGAATACTGGAGTGGGTTGCCATTTCCTTCTCCAATTTTTCTCCATATTTCTCCATTTTTCTTCATATTTCATACAGTTTCTCCATATTTCATATAGATAATAGATGGGGAGATGATAAATGTATATCATATATTACCCTATTTTCTCTATAAAAACATTAAGCTCAGGAGTTCATACTACTTTCTGGTTCACCTTCCTCTTATAGCCTACAGAGATTTATCTTTAAAAAGTTCTTCATCAATTTCATTGTTGCTATTTTTTGGCAGTGGTTCACATTTCCTCATCTTTTAACTTTAGGATTTAATTTATTTATGTAATCATTCCTTTAAATGTCTGTTGCATCTAAGTTGATTTATAGGTTCAACATAATGGTTACCTGACTTTTGAAACAAGCATCACTACAATCTAGTAAGGAAAGAATGTACCTATCAGCAAATGATAGTAGGTCAACCAGATATCACTATAGAGACAAAAGACACTTGATCTCTCTACGGTACCCACAAAAATTATCCAAGACAGAAAACAGCAAAACAGTAGAGCTTCTAGAAGAAAATGGAGGATTATTTCATGAACTGGAAATAGGCTAAGAATCCTTAGCTACCATAAAAGCACTAACCATAAAAAGTTAGGGAAAATATAGGGACTTTTCTCGTGACCCAGTAGCTAAGACTCCACACTCCCAATGCAGGGGGCTCAGGTTTGAACCCTGGCCAGAGAACTAGATCCTACATGCTGCAAGTAAGACATGGCACAGCCAAATAAATTTTTTTTAAGTTAGTGAAACTGTTGATAAACTGAAAAGAAAAACACCAGTAAACAGAACTTTGTCAAAATTAAAAACTTCTATTCAAAAAGACACTATAATGAAGATGAAAAGACAAGCTACAGAGTAGAGCAAGATATTTTACATGCATGCATGTATACATGTATGCACGGATATGTCACTATAAACATGTGTCACGTATATGACAAAAGTCTCATCTAGACTATGACTACCACAACCCAAGTTTTAAATAAGCAAAAGACTTGAACAAACATCTAATGAAAGAGGATATACAAATAACCAATAAGTATAGGAAAAGGGAGTGAAAATTGTCACTCATCCAGGAAATGTCAATTTAAATCACATTGACACACTACTACAGAATAACTGAAATGCATACACACTGAGGAAACCAGATATGAAAGAGACACGTGCACCCCAGTGTTCATCGCAGCACTGTTTATAATAGCCAGGACATGGAAGCAACCCATATGCCCATCAGCAGACGAATGGATGAGGAAGCTGTGGTACATATACACCATGGAATATTACTCAGCCATTAAAAAGAATTCATTTGAATCAGTTCTAATGAGATGGATGAAACTGGAGCCCATT